TCAAATGGAATGGATGCGGAGATGATAGATTGTTGATAAGCGGGTGTCCGGATCCGAGACAACGCTCCCGAGTCGGAGCTCGCGCCAATGGAGCGCTCTGATTGGTCGGGGTTTTTTGTTAATCCACGCCTTGGACAACTTTCACGATAAGGAAAATGTTGTTTAAAATTACGTCAGGAACCATTTCAATATCTTACACTAGTTTTGGGACACCCTGTATAGCCTACACATCCTTAATGGTATAAACCTTAATCTCTGAATTTAGGATCCAGAGTCACCGGAACCATGGATAGGGGAGAGGGACGCTTCGAAATTTCGAGACGTATGCGCCAGCTTTAACCGTATGACCAATGAAATCGAAGGAAGCGACGATTGTCTTTACCTCAATGTATACAGGCCAACAAGCACTGCTCTAAAAAAATGCGCTGTCATGGTGTGGATCCATGGTGGTGGCTTCGTCGCCGGATCCGGAAATGACACTTTCTATGGGCCTGACTATCTGATACGGAAGGATATTGTTCTAGTAACGATTAACTACCGGCTAGGCGTCTTAGGTAAGATTGTGTTGGATTATACGTTCAAAATGTAACAAAAATCTATCGAGATATGATACGCAGGATGAAAGAGGGCGTTCGTACAAAACAACTAACAAGGGGAGGCCAACATATGTGCGACACGGATTTTGATGAGTCTCACATATGTTGTAGTGTAGATGTAGTACAACAATATATGTTTCAATGGTGGGGCCAACGCTCAATAGTTTTCGAAATATTAATAAAAATAGGTGTCGATGTGTTGAAGAACAAATAAGTTAAGATCCTCTACCGTAATAGACATTAGCGACGCAGTCGCGTGCCGGCAGATAGAGAGTAAGGACGTGTATCGAATGCTCCCGAGTGTTCTAGCCGCATCATTGTACGTCTCTCCTCCTTAAATCCTATTTCGTAGCTTATGTATTTATTGTATATAGTGTTGTCGTGTGTTTGTCATCCTCATTGTGTGGGAGCAAATCCCTAATTACTCCTTATCGGGTCCTTCCCGTCCTGAGGCAGCCCTTGCGGGCGTACTCACAATGGCCTCCGAAGGAGGTAGAAGAGATAAAAGAAATTACGTTGAAACAGGAGAACCCAACGAAGGAACCCCGTCAACGAGTTCAAGTACCTTACGCGAGCCCAAAACTGCAAAATTAAATTCATTACAGTTAGATAAGCTTTACAAGCAACTTCGTAAAGAGTCTGGGATGCCCCCCGCCCCTCTACCCATCAGGTTCAAACTAAACTTAGCGGCCGCTCGAGGCCAGGCACTGGTGAAAGCGACCCCTCCGGAAGCGAACCAAAATGAAATCCTAACCATGGACATTAGCGAACAGGTTACCGACGATCAGTCAATTCCATTACCGACGGAAAGATGGACCGTACCATAAAGAACTCGGAAGAACCCGAACAAGAAACAGGTAGCTGTTACTGATGCCGACGAGGTTTTAAGTAACAGATATGAGTCCCTAGAGGAAATAAATTTATCCGATACAGATAACGCGGGCATGACTGGAGCAGAAAACTGTGCCCCAACCGGTAGCAGAAAACACAAAAAGCCACCCCCGATTTATATTTTATCGTCGGACTTAGTAACATTAATACAAATAATTTCACCAAAGATGACTGTACAGTAAACGAGACAAATAAGGACAATCACACTATCTTTTGTAACAAGGAAGAAACGTATTTCATTTTGTTAGAAGCGCTCAAGTGGGCGGGAATCCCACATTATTCATTTACGCCAAAAACAATTAAGCCAAAGTCGTTGGTTTTGAAAGGAGTTAAGGACTCATTCTCCCCTGAGGAAATAAAAAATGAACTAGAAGAACTTGCACCAAACAATGTATCGATTCTAAATGTTTCCAAATTCATATTTCGTGAAGAACCAAAGGCATAGCATCACTTAGTGCAATGTGATAGCGCTAGCAACCTCAGCGAACTATTTAAAATAAAGTTTATTGCTTATCAAAAAGTAAGATGGGAAAGACTTCGACGAAGAGAATTGTACCAATGCCGTCGATGCCAAAGGATTGGACACTCGGGAAGAATTGTCATCTTAACTACCGATGCGTAAAATGCGCGTTACCCCATGAGCCGGGTACTTGTTCATTAAATAGCATGGCCGCCAAAAACGAATTGAAATGTGCGAACTGTGGGCATAATGAGCACACGGCAAATTATCGGAGCTGCCCGTACTTTAAGCTCGCGGCAGCGCAAAAAAAAGCAATAAGCAGTTTGAAAACGACAAGAGTTATGAAGAAAATTGATACCATCTCAGCGGTTGTAAGGGACAACTGCTCGTATGCCCAGGCTACCAAACCAACAAACATCGGAAGTGCAAGGTCAGCATCCCAGTACAACCTAATTGGAGAGCCGAGGTACCCAGGTACCCAGTACACCACAGGACATTGTGGGAAGAGAATAACAATGACACCGCATGGGCGGGAAAGACGAGCTCCGACTGGATTGAACAACTAAAGAACGATATGGCCGAAATAATCGGAAGACAGCTGCAGGTGCTAGCCCAGCAAGTAAACAACAACTCCAATAATATTAATAGAATATAATACTTAACGCGCTACGACTTCCGGATAATGAATAAGAACAATTGTAAATCGAGCAGACTTAAATTAGCGGCCATTAACGTGAACTCGTTGTGCGCCAATAGTAGAAGAAATGATTTGTTAGAATTCTGTCGCAAATACGAGCATGATATAATATGCGTATCCGAAACCAAGCTGAACGCCAGACATAAAATCAGCTTTGCGAATTATAAGATATTTATAACGGATAGGCCAAATTCCACCTGTGGCGGAGGCACCGCATTCCTTGTCCGCAACTGGCTCAATCCATCTCGGGTAATCTCTCCCAGTTCAAGCAATAATAAAACTTTAGAATATACCATAGTTAAACTACTTACTGCTAGTGGTCAGAATTTGTTTGTAATTAGTGTTTATGCAGCCTTTGACAATAGAAAGATTTTCCTTGATGAGCTTAATGAACTCTTTACATGTTTGGAACTTGGCAAAGGTAATAATTATTTTATCATTGCGGGAGATTTAAACGCGCGCAGAGTTGAATGGGGGGACCGAGCGGGGAACCAGCGGGGCAGATATCTACGCCAGTGGGAAGAAAATCGAAGCATTTGCTATAAAACTATGATTCTTATCCCGGCCAAAACCCACTTTTAAACCGGCGGCCTCCTATCTGGACATTTGCCTCGCTGATTCAGGGATACAATTCCTGAATCTAATAGATGGAAAAATTCCTGTTTTGCCTTATGTCAGTGATCACAACGCGCTGTCAATGTCTTTCGAAATTAGCAGAGACACCTTTATAAAGGTTAATGCGGATCTGATCGAGCATAGATACAACTTTAAGGCTACTCGCTGGGACAAGTTTGCCCGACACGTGCACGAATGCAACAATTCCCGGATAGCTTGCAATCGTAACCTCTCTATCTTGGAAATAAACAACGGCTTAGATTCAGTCACGGAAGCTATTCTTACGACAATCAAATCGATAACGCCTACCGACAAAAATAGGAATAGTGTAGAACCTTATTTCTCCAAAAAAATTAAAAGATTAGCCAAAGCGAAAAGCACCTTAATTTCAATTGTACACAACCTTTCGGACCTTGATCCACGCGACCGATTTGGATTATCCGCGGTAGCTAAAGATCTATTACACAATATCAAAAAAAAGCTTAACGACAGTTTCAATAGGTCAGTGCAACGGCACTGGAGGACAGTTTTGCGGAAAATCGACCATAATCACACGGAATCCTTCTTCCCCAAGATTAATGCAATCTTCCGGCCAAAAAAACAAATTGAACTGATCAAGTTAGAGATTAACCAAAATGACCGAGAGCTAATCGACAGATGCAAGTTATCCGATAATAATGTAGGGCAAGAGAACAAAATAGTACTTACGAAATTTTGAACGCGATAGGAGCGAACTTTGAAAGAATAAGCTCACCCCGGAGTTTAAATCAGGGCATCAGGCTTAAAGAGTTAGTTGATCAGGCAGCGCAGGGGTTGCGGGATAACCATCTGCTGAACAGGTCGCGCAATGCCACCCTGGTTGAATTCTCGGAATCCAATCGGGCGGACGATCCGGTACGTCTTGAGGGCGGTTTCCACCCATTCATAAGCTTTGACCGATTATGCAAAATTCTCAAATGAATGCCAAATAAAACATCATCTGGTATTGATGGTATTCCAACTATAGCTCTAAAACACCTCCCGGGCTCAGTTGTGCATAAGTTGGTAATTCTATTTAATAACGCGCTCAATCATTGCTACTTTCCTAGTATTTGGAAGCAAGCCAGAGTTTTGCCTATCCTGAAAAAGAACAAGGACCCTAATGATCCATCCAGTTATCGTCCTATAAGCCTCACCCCCAACCTGAGCAAGATATTCCAAGCGATAATAAACACTCACATTACGGACTTCTGTATGACTAACAAAATAATCCCGGAACTTCAATTTGGATTCAAGCGTGGACACTCCACAGTCCACGCAATTCACAAGCTGCTATCGGATATAAATAATAGCTTAAACGGCAGCAGATTGGTAGGAGCTGCACTTCTGGACTTGGAGAATGCGTTCGACTCTGTTTGGCAGAACGGGCTGTTATACAAACTAGAGAAAAAACACTTCCCGAACGGTTTGATTCATCTCATCCTGGATATGATCAGTAACAAGTCATTTATAACGTGTGCTGGGGATTACAAATCATCGTTATCCTTCCATATTAAAGAAGGTCTGCAACAAGGCACAGTGAATTCGCCAGCACTGTTCAACATTTTTATAAGCGATCTTTTAAAATTATTTGATTTAAACTCGACAGAGGGTAATACAAAAGCTCTTGGATTTGCGGATGATTTCGTCGTATACACCGCAGATAGAAAGACCCTATCGGTTCAAAAAAGGTTGGAGGAAATTGTAAATAAGATTAACAGCTATTATATGTCGTGGAACCTTAAGCTAAACCCGAAAAAATGTGAAACCATCTTATTCAGGAAACCGGTACATTACCGCAATTGCAAAAAGGGGAGCTAACAAATTCGGAATACGTGCCACGGTCCCGGGCACGACGGACTCGGTTCTGATTCCACACAGATCTTCAGTCAAATACCTGGGTTATCACATAGATTACCTAATGAGGGGTAATATTCATGCAGACATGTCTATAGCTAAAGCGCGCAAAGCCTTCCTAGCGAATGGTAGAATTTTCCGAAACAGATCCCTCTCAGCGAAAACTAAAATTATTTTATATATGTTGCTAATAAGGCCGATCATAACGTATGCAGCACCCGTGTGATGGAACATCAATCACACTAGCGCGGAGAAGCTACGAGAATTCGAACGGAAGTGCATCCGGGCGTGTATAGGACTATACCGTCGGGTCATTCGGAATGGCTCCATTTCGTTAGTAATAAAAAAATTTACGATGCGGCACAAATACCACGCATAGACAGTTACTTGCTTAAACTAACGAGAGATTACTTGAGTGGG